CAGGTCTGGGGTTCTACATTCACGGTATGAATAACATAACAAAAAAGGCACAATCCGTGAATGAGAAAACGAGACACAAATAACCCGCACATAGACAGAAGCTATACGACGACGTTTCGGTCCACGACTTGGACCATTGACTCAAACAGTCACAGTGTGACTTGGGGACCATAATGACAAAGTCACAGTGTGACTTTGTCCATGGTCCAAGTCGGACCGAAACGTCGTCGTAAGCTTCTGTCTTCTTTTATGTGCGGGTTGTTTGTGGTATTCACGGTTATCGCTTTCCAATCTCCTAGGTGCATCGTGATTAGGATTGCGCTGCTGTGGATCATTATAGTTTTACATTGGTTTTTAATTGTTATTTATAGTGGTAGAGGTCTTTGTTTCCTATTCCTGCCCACTCGATTCTGTGAGAAACACTCTCAATAGGGTAATTAAATCATCGCATTAAATTTTTTTGTTTTGGAAATGTTTGCCATGGGTCGTAAATTCTTATTACATTGATCCAAGTGGTTAATAAAGTTGTCTCTGATGTATCTTGGTTTGAGAATAAGTTTCCTACCTTCTGTATTTAATCCTTGATTGCGGAGATGTGATCCAGATTGATACAGTTGTTAGTTTGGGGAAGTGATCGATAGAAGATCATCAACTATGACAGAGTCATGCATCGATATAATGATGTATTAAATCCAAGACACCAGATATCTAGTATGTACACACCATATATGTGAGTAGGTCAGTTTCTGCCCCCACAATTCGAACATTATCATGCTCATTTAGCAAAATCTCACTAGTTAGGTTCATTTGGTCCTGTTTGTATAGACCACCCAATATTCTTATGTATGGCATTAAAATCTCCATGAATGATGGTAGGGTCATCTATTGATGAGCGATCGGGTTTAAAGCATCAGGTCGAAGCTGGTTCGCTGAGGGCATAGAGATAAAAATGTTTCTATGGAAAAATCGCCTGCATATTCTTTGACTTATTTTGGTTCTATTATTTGTTGGTAAGTAAATTTTAAACATTTTGTGCAGAGCATTTAAAAGCTCCGTGTGTGGAGAGTTCTCGTCGAGCTTCCTCCTCCCGGTGTTATCACTGCAACAACATCTTATTTGCTATATTCCTCATTTTAGGTTGCCTTAAGTTGAATTTCCCTGGAGCAAGATGTTGGGGAGCAGGAGCTGGCAGATTTTCCAGACCAAGTTGGTCAATTTTTAAAACAGCTTTCCTGGAATTGCTGGGACGTTGCATCCGGAGGCTGATAGACTACCACAATGACTAGGTTTTGGTTCTCGATCTTTACTGCATAAAACTTCCACTACCATCATTTGAGGCAATTAAGCTCAGTTCTGTGCACACAAGCGACTCTGTTGAAATATAGTCAGGCCAACCCCCTCTTCCTTTTATGGCCTGTTCACACTGTCACATCTGTATAGGTTGTAAAACCTGGGATCATATTTCGTTGTCCAAGAAATCCTTTAGTGGGTCTCTGTGAAACCCGTGAAGTTTGCATTTGCCCTGCAAGCCCACGGATGAAAGGTATTTTGTTGTTCGTTGCGGGCTTTGACCCGTATTTTGCAAGAATGTATCGGGTGGTGGTATTGTTGGTACGGGGGGGGGGGGACTTTTTTCGGTTTAAATATTGTATCTGTTGGTTTGGAGGGGAGGCCATCGAGGGGGTTCCTTCCAGGAATGACTGGATTTGGGGTACGATTTTGCCTTTCCCCCCCTTTTTTTTTTTTTTTCTTCCTGGCACAAAAAAAAACCTCTCCCCTTGAGGGGCTGTGGCTCCCCATTTTTCCCAGGGTCTGGATGTTTTGTATTTTTTGTCCCCTTTAGAGGGTGTGCCTGGAAAATTTAAGTTATAGCACAGTCTTTCCTGTACTAAAGGGGACACTTTCAGGGTAAAAAACCCTTAAGGAAGGGATTTTTGCTTTTTCCTGTTGTAAAGGGGCAGGGACATTTTCTGGGGTGGTCAGGGGTTGCACGTCCCATCTTTTTTTCCCAGATTTCCCAGCCTAAGATATAAGTGATAGTATGTGCACAGGCGGGTTTTCCCGTTTGCCTTGGGGTTCTGTAACTGTTTTCCCCTGTTGGTGCAGTTTAATGTCTCTTTCCTACCCCTCACTAGCACCCAATGGGTTCCCCCAGTTGTTTTTGGGTAATATTTCTCCTATCTAGTGGAGTCCTTTTGTTTGCTTTTTTCCTGTGGTTTAAACTATTTTGAAATATTGGTTTTATCTTGCTTGACTACATTTTTTTTCCCTACAAACAGTCCTTTTCTCCTCGAGGCTGTATATGATCCCTCCTGGAATTTACTGACACCGGAAAAAATTCCCCCCCTCCCCATTACTGTCTCCGGGGCAGCCCCTCCGCTTCACCATTACTTCCCCCAGGACACACCTCCAGTTCACCTTTACTGTCTCCCAGGACACACACACCCACATTTATGACTCCGGGGGCAGCACCTCCACCCTTTAAATTTTCTGACTACATCACATCGGGCGAAACCATCCAGCCCAAACCCCCCAAAAACATTTTCCCCTTTTTTTAATACTGCTTGTAGAAGTTCTTGGTATCGCACAAGGGGGGTGACACCAATTTTCAAAAAAAAAGACAATTTTTCCCGGGAAGCCGTTTGTTTTGATTTATGAGACAACACAGAGCTTCATAATGTGATTTTAAAGGTTGTTTCGTAATTCTACTAGAACCCTTTAAAATTCTACTAAAAAACTTTCCTTTTAAAAGGAAGCTCTAGGGATCGTATTTCTATTTCTAACGTACTTGATATTAATACAGCTTGCCGGAGTCTTTGTTTAATATTTTTTGTTTGTGTTTGATAAGGGCGCCTAAAACCCCGTCTGTTTAGTCTGCTGTATTGTCCAACGAATCCATTTGCAACCGGTCAAGGGTTCGGACCGGTCAAGGGTTCGGACCGGTAAGGGTTCGGAACCAGTCGGATCTGATCAGTGGGTCATTATTTAAAACATATGGTCGGTGATTTTGGGGTAACACTGAAGGGAAATATGGGGAAAATTTTCTAACCGGTAATAGCGATTTGATTGATACAAAAGCATAACTTGAGCGTTGAAGAACCGGTGATTGCTGGCAGCTCCTACAATGACGAACGGTCGAGCTTCAACCCTTGTTTATCGATCACTGTATCTAGCTTTTCTAGGTTTTTCCGTCTCCACCACAACAAATGCTATATATCACTATGGTTGACTGGTGGAAGTTTTGGAGGAAACACACTTTTTCTGTAGTAATATTTGCTTTTCGTTGTGTATATTGCGAGAGTAAAGTCCAAGGCAGCTATGGTGAAAAGCTCTGTTCCCAACGAAAACAGTACTCGCCCCCCATCTCGTTTTCTCCTCATATTGACATGAAAAGGATGTCAGCCCGCACCGTGTTTTATTTTTGCAGATGACCCCGAACTGCATGAAGTGTTTTCCATTGCAGACACTGAAAGGCCCCAGGGGGAAAAACCAAATCTTTCAGGGGGCTGCAGAAAAAAAATAGAAGTTCAAGTGGAAATTTAAATTACTCAGAATGGTAAACACGAGAAATAAAACTTCATCAGGTACAAAAAAATTTCCGGCAAAAAATGAGGAAAACCCAACGTCAAAGACCGGGGAGTGTTCTGTCGGGGATCTCCTTCAAGGCCAAAACATGTATCAACGCAGCTGCTAGAAAAATGACGGTGGATAATGAAACCTCAAAACTAGGGGGGCCAAGCCCATGAGACATCTTCAGGTCACTTTTTTCTATCTAGGCGGGAATATTGCTGCACACAAACGCCCAGGGGCCTGGGGGCTAAAGCTCCCGCTTCAACACGGGGGGCCCCGGGGTTCGACCCCCGGCGGGTGGAAACATTTCGACAGTTTCCCTTTACCCCTTTTGTCCTGTTCCCCTAGCGCAAATAGGTACCGGGGTGTTAGTCGATGGTGTGGGTCGCATCCGGGGGGGAAAGATTGGGGACCTAATGGAAAATAATTTAAGACAGCCCCTGTTGCGCACTGACTTTTTGGGTTACCCTGGGTGGTAACCCCCGGGGTTAAAAATCCGAACGAAATCTTTTTTTATTTACCCTTTTAAGGGAGGTGAAAATTTCTGACCGAAAATTTACAAGAACCCTTTATGGCGCGCATAATGGAGATAAAAAACCCCAAATTTCTGGGAGCGCTTGGGTTTCCCGAACCCGTTTCCCTGGAACGCAGGCGGGGAGATACATGATTTATAACCTGAAAATCCTAGGGGATATACCAACTTGCCCCACGAAAACCCTCACTACGAAAAAAAAAGAGGGGCAACGATGCAAAATCCCCCAATGAAAAGCAGGGGTGTCCTGCATTTAAGAGACCTACAATAATGTAGGGCCCCGAGACTGTTCAACTGCCCCCCTGTAAACATAAGGGGGTTTACCAAAACCCCTGGCAGTTTTCAAGTGGCACGGGAAAAGCACCTAAAGTCGTACCTGACCGCCGGGCTGGGGCTCGTACGTTGGTTTGGTGCAGCTAGCGAAACAGTTGGTTGATAAAGCTCTATCCCCCAGGAGGCCTGGTACAGACCGGGCCCGCGGGGGCTTTAACCCCCCGGAAATTTCCAGGTAACTCCAGGTTCCATATCTCACCTTATGTTCCAGTCTTGTAACTTGTACACAAAATTTTAGCACCACCTACGTATGAAGGCTTTTTTGTAGTTTAACAATTTCCCTAATGAATAAAAATTCTACAAAAACACTAAATAAGTCTTGTGTATTTTAGTAAAAAAAAAAAGGGGGGAAAGGGGTGTATTCTTGGTTTTTCCCTTTAAAATACGTACAATAGTTATTTACTGTGAAAATTATTTTGGGAACATTTCGCAACAATGAAAAAAGTGGTTTGATATGTTACTAGTAGCTTTATTTATGTTTAACAATTTTCATTAATGTAAACTACAATACCCTTGTATCACTTACAAAACTTGAATATATACAGTAATTATGGTGGTGACACAGGGGAATGGTTTGGAGTGGAGAGCAGCGTCAGTGGTCCGACCATCGCTCGGGGCAGCACCCTACAAGCCAGTCCCAGCCCTCAGGTCCTCCTCCTCTCCAACGAGATCGACTCCTGGATGGCTCAGGCAGAGGACCCCCCCCCCCCCCCCCCCCCCCCCCCCCCCCCCCCCCCCCCCCCCCCCCCCCAAGGTTTTTTATTTTTGTGTGTAGTTTTAGGAAAAATATTTGTGGGGTCTTAATTGGTCCGATAATTGGAGTCTTGAAGACCCTGATCTAGTTTAATCTGCAAGAAAGACTGCTGGCTTTTTTTTACCTGGAGTATACCTGGAGAGAGTTTCGGGAGTTAACGCCCCCTCGGCCCGGTCTGTGACCAGGCCTCGTGATGGATCACGGTCTGATCAGCCAGGTGTTATGCGGCTGCACGCAATCCCCAAGTACGGAAATACAGCCGGGCTGGCAGGATGACTAAGATGCCGTCCCTGCCTTCTTGAAACAGCCCGGGGGTTTTATTTGGGAATCCCCCTTATGTATCGGGGGGCAGTTGAACAGTCTTGGACCCCTGACATTATTTGGTTGTCTCTTATCGTGCTATGGCACCCTGTTGTTATTGTGGGGAAAGTTACATCGTCTGCAGTCTTGCTTTTTAGGGAGTGATTTTCGTGTGTAGTAAGGAGTTTTAAAAAATTTTTTTTTCCCCAAAAGAGGTAAGTACTTTCTATTCCAGGTCTCGACAGAGGAAATTGGTCAATCCATGAGGAAACATGTACTCTCATCAAACTTGCCATTGGATTTAGTTACACATGTTAATGTGAAAAATTTTCTGGATGCCTCCATGTGAGTTGTCTACCCTGGCAAGCTTGTTG